AATGCCCCCCTATGAGTTACAATGGTTTGTGCTTCAGCAGCAGCTTCATCAACAGGTAACTGTTGATAAGCCTGTGCTAAATCCAGCTTTGCAAAAACACGCCCCCCCCTTGAGGGAGTCCAGAATATGACTGACTACAGGTACAGGATATGCATGCTGTTGCAATGCCTTGTTTAGAGTGCATTTGTAATCTGCACAGATGCGAATGTCCCCATTAGCCTTAAGAGGCGTGACTATGGGAGTTTCCCAAGGACTTGAGTCAATAGGTTCTAAGACACCTTGCTGAATCAATTTGTCCAATTCAGCATCAATTTTCCCTTTCAAAGCAAAGGGTACTCTCCTTGCCTTTACTCTGATAGGAGTGACAGTGGGGTCCAGCTTCAAGGAAACTAGGGGGCCTTTGTATGCACCCAGCTGAGGGCTGAAGACATCTGCAAATTCTTTGCAGACTTCCTGTAGACCTAATGTTTGCAAACTGTGAAGCCCTGTAACTTGTATTCCCAAGGCCTCAAACCAATCGAGCCCAATGAGACTCGTGTGCTCACCCCCAACTACCAATACATCTAATGGACCTTCAAAATCCTTGTATTGTACATTAAGGGTGGCCTCCCACTTAACACACACCTTGGAATTTTGAAAGTCTGTTAGAACTATATTGGATGGCCTAAGGTAGGCCTGGAACCCACTGCTAGAGCAAATCTTTCTGAATGTGTGAATGGAAATAATTGAAAGTGCAGACCCAGTGTCTAATTCCATAAACAATGGAACTCCTTGCAACTTCACCTTAAGTGACAGTTTCTTTTTGAGTGGCTTGTGTGTGCCTGTCCTATAAATACTTCTTTGTGGTGCACAGAAACCCACCCTGTTTTGGCTGGGGACCCTGGTACCTTTCAGGCGCAATTCTTCTCGGGGTTGTACCTTCTGATGGCCCAGACACACAGCTGCTATGTGGCCTTGCTTTCCACGTGCTCTACAGATTGCAGAACGGAACCTGCAGTCGGTCCTCCTGTGGCGACCTCCACACCCGAAGCACTTGGGTACAGCTGAAGACTTTTCTTTGCCTTCCTTCTGCTTTCTTCCTTTGGCTGGGTAGAGATGATCCACCTCATCTTCAGGATCTTCTTCCGAGCTCTCCTGGACTCCCTCATGGTGCACATAAACAGCTTCTGGGTTGTTCCTGATAGGCCTCATGTTCTTGATTGCCCCCCCCCCCCGCTGCCTCTTCTGCAGTGACCTCTCTCAAGGCATCTTGGAATGATATGTCTTCCTTTGCAAAAAGTCTCTGCCGCAAGTCTCTGTACCTAAGCCCACATACAAATCGGTCTCTCAACCTTTCTTCTAAGTCTTTAAAATCACAAGGCTTAGCTGCTCTTCTCAAGGCTGCAATGTATTCTTTAGCTGATTCACCAGCTCTTTGATCCCTCTGTTCAAAAGTGTGTCTCCATGCAATAACAGACAACTTGGGCTGAAAATGTGTAAGAGGAGAAGGGACTGCTAAATTTTCAGCAATTTCAAATGCATCTTGACCACAGACACACAGCAAAGTAGCGGCCTTTAAGCCATCTTCTCTTACTTGATTTACTTTAAAGTAGTTTTCTACCCGGCCACATAAGACTCCCATCTTTCTGGGTGCTTGACATTGAATTCAGACAGTCTCCCTATCTTCGCCATTTTTCTTCTTGTAAGGAAGGGGTCTATCAGCCAGCTTACCTCCAGCGACTCTGTACTGGCAGGCCGGGTGCTGAATTTAACGTCGTCTTCCACTCTTCAGGACTCCTGGGTAAGCTTACAATTCTTCTTTATCTGTTGTAAGCCATCCAACCTTCGTCACCAGTGTTGAGTCCTAGGCTTAATGGTGAATGAGCACAGAACATCTCGTGGTTCCAACAGGTCTTTATTTTCAGTCTTTTCTGCTCTGTCACAGGTCTGAGGCTCGCAGGCCTCTCAGTTCTTTTTAACAACATTCCCGGGCAGAATGACAACAATTAGGCACACTCCGCACCTCGCGCTTGTGCGTGATGCTGGCGCCAGCAAGTCTGGCCCTGGGCAGCTTGCAACTGCCCGGGACCATTGCAACGTCCCGAGCCTGCCTTTGCATGCTCAGGACATAACAGTGGGCAATCAGCAACCAGATCACATTCAGAGCTCTTTGCAAAATCCCACAATCACATGACTACAGCTTAAAATGTTTTGCTGGCATTGACTACCAATATCTGAAAAATGCCCATTCTGAAAAATGGGTACACTTAACGACTGCAGCATTCATTTAATGACCGCTGCAAACCATTCCTCCATTGTGGAGATCGAAATGTCCTTCCATTTTTGTACATAAAGTAGTCTTGCTGCCCTAAATGTATATAACACTGAAGTTCCATCTTTTTTTCCAAGTCTTTTTTCCATTAAGCCAGAAAGAACAGTTTCTGCTTTTACCTTTATATTCACTTTCAGAATTTTCTGTATTAGAATATAAATCCTACTCCAATATTTCTTTACTTTATCACATGTCCACCATAAATGATAAAAGCTCCCTTGGTCCAGGATGTTTTTCAGGGGGCTGTGAATGTAGACACATGAGTTGCCTCTGGTGTGATGTGTTTTTTGGTCATTGATGATGCCGATAATATTGCAATGATTAATTTTAATTATTATTTACTGCCAAAAGTCATATTTAAAATGGGTACCTTAATTCCTTAATTAATGGGTACCTTAATGGGTACCTTCTCCCTTAATTCTTTGCTAGCAATCCAAATTTTAGAAATGTACATGATGTCTCAGTTGCGCCTGCGGCCTATGGATGGCTCTAGTTTGAGCTGATACAAGGCAAAAGATTTCTCTCTCCCATATTTGGGTCAACAGGGTGTAATATACAGCATTCCAGATAACTCCTCCCCTGTTTCTTCTCTCCCTAACACAGCTGGCAAAAGTGAGAAAGAGCCTGTGGCCTAGGGGTTAATACTGCTCCCTAACATGCAGACAGCCCAGGTTCGAATCTCAGAAGGGTATGTCTGGTTGAAAAGAACTACACATACACACACACACACACACACACACACACACACACACACACACACACAAACATATATATTGAAATAGAAAAAGTTTTATTGATTATCTAGCGATAACTTCCAACTTTTCAGCATTTTCCAAGTTTCCCACATCCAAAGGCCACGCAAGCACTCTTCTAGGCCGCTGACCACAATAACCGAGCTACACAAATATTGTGTATAAATATAAATATATATTGCAAATGCGTGAACGATATGCCATATACGAAACAAATAAACACAGAGAGAGGGGGGGGAGAGAGGCAGAGAGGGACACACACACACACAGAGAGAGAGAGAGAGAGAGAGGGGGGGGGGAATGGGAACAGAGATTTAAAGATTTACTCCCAAACGGGAAAAATCCAGTGTAACCATTCCTTCCTGTTACCTTTCCTTATTTTTGCCCTGGTATTTATCACCACCATAATCCTATTTATAGTTATTTATGGAATTTTGTGTTTGCCCGCAATTGTCTTCACTGGAAAAAAGTGTAGAAACGATTGACAATATTACCTGTCTCAGCCCGAGGGGTGACTAAAACAGCACAAACCGCAGGGACTAAAGACCTTCCTCAGCTCAGGACGGATTTTTAGGCCCTGTGTTGGGAAAGGAGGAGGCCATTTCTGTTGTCCAGAAATTCAGTGAGTGGTGATTGGATCTTGGATTCATCAATCAAAGGACAGTAACACTGAGTTCCTCCACTTAGTTTATATTCATGTTTATGTTTATACATTTACAATCTTTCTTGCCACAGCTGTTAAGTGAATCAAGTTGTTAAGTTAGTAACAGGGTTGTTAAGTGAATCTGGCTTCTGTAAGGATTTTGATTTTCAAACTGTTGCAAAAGGCGATCGCATGACCTTCGGACATAGCAACAGTCATAAGTATGAACAAATGACAAAATTAGTGGACCAGAGGAATGCTGTGGATATAATTTACTATTACTATTATCAAATTGGAAAACATTTGAATTTTGATCACATGATCCTGGGACTACTAGTAAGGTCGTAAGTGTGAAAAACCGTCATAAATCACTTTTTTCAGGGCTGTAACTTTCAACGGTCACTAAATGATCTGTTGTAAATTGAAGACTACCTGCAATATGTGTACTTGATCCTGCTTCCAATAGTTTTCCTCTACCTTCCATTGAAATTTCTCTAATCACTTCACAACTCTGAAGTCTATGCTTCAGAAAGACAGTCATGACGTTAACTACGTTTGTTCCTGTTTGGGGCATCATATCAAAGTTAGATATATTTATAAACTCAAAGAGGATACAAGGACAGCATTTAAAATATGAAAATAAATTGGAATCCTCCCATTGGAGGAAGAAAAAAAAAACTGTGTGAAACATTAGATGTTTCGGAAGTAAACCTGCAAACATGAAAAAAAATAAAAATTTGTTCTGTTTCTGTGAAGCATGTGGTTTAATATTTCACTATAACTGAAGTACAAGTTGTGAAGCTGGGTACTTTGAACCTGGGCTTTATTTTTTGTTTTTGTTTCTAGTTTATAATATTTGGAAATTGAAAAAAAAATATATTTGCTACTAGCAAGCTCATTCCTGAAGAAAGAAGAAACGTCGCCATTTATTAGGGCAGCGAATGCTTCAAAATTTATTTAGAAGAGATTTAAGAACAGAGTCTCTCTCCTGGTCATTAAAAATCTCTAACTTTTTTCTCTTCGAGCCTGAAGTCACATTACCAGTAAAGGTTGTCCTCAACGTAAGACTGAAATTGAGCCCTGAATTACAGTGGTAAGTTGCTGCAGTCACAAGTCGAGGCATCATGTGACTGGACCCAAATTTTCAACATTTTTAGAGTAGTTGTTAAGCAAATGCTGTAGTCGTTAAGCGAATGCTGAAGTCATTAATTGTTCGCTGGGGCGCTGCAAACAGTTCTAAAGGTAATCAGTTGCCAAGAATCCAAAATGGGACCATGTGATCATGGAGGTGGGGATATGCGGACACCATAATGATTAAAATAAGTCATAAGTAGTTCTGGGTCAGTTCTTCATAATTTCAAATGGTCATTAAGCAAGCAGTCATAAATCGAGGACTACCTATAACGATTAAATAATAGTATTTTATTAGGGAAAACCCTCAGAGCTGTTAGATCTGTAAGGGGAGAGGAGGGGCTGCCCTGGGCCTTCCTGAGCCAGGGCATGGGAGGAGGTGATGCACGTCTGGCCAGCCTTATTGGAGCCATGTCCCAGTCAAGCGGGGCATCCACTGGCACACGTCCAGCTTGGGAGGAGCTGAAAGGGGAGCGCGAGCCCTGCACATGATCAGAGCCTCCGCAGCCCCGAGGGGAGAGTGCACTATGTCCCCTCCCCTCCCTGGAGACCCTGTGTGAGGAGCCCTTCCTTGGGCAGGGGGTTGGTCTAAAAGCCACACCCTAGGATTGTATGATTCCTTCTGTGCTTTGTGCCACAATGATGGTGCTTCTCTGTTGTTCCTGTTCCCACATGAAAGGAAGAGGCCAAAGGCCACCAAAGGAGTCAGCCACCGGGCCGCCCAGACACTGCTAAACCCAGGTGAGCTGCCCTCCTTGGGTAGGTTTAGAATGTGGCCCTTGTTTACCTAGTTGCCGAGGCAACGAGGTTGTCAGTTTCCCTGAAAAGCCACCAACCAGGGCCCAACTGCCCATTCTCCCTTCGTGCAGTGAAAGGACAAACAGCTGCTTGGGGTCATGGCTGTACGGAGGTTTTTTAGAGTAAGTGTGGCCGTCTCAGCTGCCAAGAAACTGGCAGTAGTAGGGGAGAAAGTCATGCTTCGCAACTCTTCCGACTGGCTCATCTCTATTTCTCTTTTCTTCACAGAACATCTGGAAAAGATGTTCGGCGCTCTTCTGCTGCAGGAAGGACATTCCTGTGCCTCCTGACAGGTACCACCCCCTTCTCCTCAAACCCTGGGCATGGTGGGGCAACACTGATGGACTGCAGGGTCTCTAACAGCCTCTCCCCAAGATGGCTTTCTCTCGGCAAGCGGCTTGCAGAGGCCAAAAGATGGGAAGGCTGACTGGCTGGCTGGTCTTAGAAAGGAGAGGCAGAGCTAGATGGATATTTTTTGACATGTCATCTTTTTCTTTCGGTCAGAACTGACGAGGCACATGAACAGGCGGACCAGAAGGGAGAATGGCAGACACAGATTCGTGTGTCCGATGGACGCAGGCCTTCCTCCCAAGGGGTAAGGATGCTTCTGCGACATGGCCAGTCAGGGCTCATCCCTCATAACCGGATGGGGAAAGGGAGGAATTCTCACTTGGGGGAAACTGGCCAGCCTAGCAAAAGCAAGAGGAGCCTTTTGGATTCATGGAAAGATCTTGATGGCTTCCTATCAGCCAAATCTTCCATGATCTGCTTTGTCTTTCCCTGTTGAATGCAGTCTTTCCCTCCTGGGGAAGATAAACGTTCCACAACATGCAGGGGACTTTTAATTTATACTTTCAATTGTTACTTGCAGGGTTTGATGGGTGTTCGTGCCACCGCCCGGAGCCCCAGGAAGGAAGAGGTGATGCCAGTTCTCATTTCAGTGAGGTAGGTGTTCGCAGATGAATTATTCTGAAGCCCCCTAAAAGGCAGCCGCAGTAAAGCCCTAAAGAGAAGGGCTAGAAGAAACTTTTGCAGAGGCAGGGGGGAGGCATCACATGGCTAGTTTTGATCTTTGGCCCTTCATTCTCTCCCTAGAAATGAGAAGATAGCGAAGTGGAGGCCGCGGCTCTCAACCATCTGGGAGACCTGCACTGAGTCGGTAAGCCCAGACCAGCTCCTCACCATGGTAATGGCAGAAGCCCTTTCGCTGTGGATTTGTTGATATGCCAACATTTGTAATATTTGCATTGTTATTTCAGGATCCTTCGGAAGAATACCGACCAAGAGAGGTGCAGGAGGAAAGCAGTGCCTGCCTATCAAGGTAGGTAACACCTCAGAGGGTGAAGCCTTTGCAGAGAGGAGGCATCTCTGCCCTCTGCCTCTGCTTCTGCTAAAGGAAGAATCAAAGGCCAATCTCCTTGGCAGGCCAGCTGGAAGGGTTCTTAGAGCCTCCACGTCACCACTTTTTAAAAAAGGGCCCATGGCTGTTTTTGATGTTTGGCTCCTTCGTTTCTCTCCCCAGAGAGGAAAAGGAAGAGCACTGGAGGCCGCGACTTCCCCCCAGATCAGAGACCTGCAGAGAATCGGTAAGGCGCGAACAACTTCTACCCCACTAAACGAAGAACCATTGTCTCTGTGGAGATGCCAACAGACAGAATCTTTGCCTTTTTATTTCAGGACGAAGAAGACCAGCCGGCGGAGGAGCAGCTCTCTCCTACTGGGGAGAAGACGCATACTTCGGAGGTAAGAAAGTCTTGGCAATGGGGCCGATGGAGGCTCTCTTGCTGTTGGCGCACAGGGCCTGAATGCACCCTATCCTTTAGCAATCTTATTGGGATGCAGAAAGCTTAGGATTTATCCTCGATACTGTCATTTGCAGGATTCGATGGAAGTCCTGGTGGGCTCCCGGAACAACAGCCTGGAGGATTTTGACTCCATTTCTGCCCTCTTGGATGAGGAGTCTGAGGGAAGCTGGGAGCAGGCTGCAGAGGCTTCGGAGGCCAGCCTTTCGTCCAGTCCGTGGGTAAGACAGACAAAGTGTTTTCTCTTGGGGAGGGATAGAGTCCCTCTATTCAGTTCTCCTAATCTGAGTGAACTGTGCTGGAGAGCTCTGGGCAGTGGATAAAGGTGACACCTGGCCCTTGGGACAAGGTACTTAGGCTAACTAGAAGCACCCAAGCTGTGTTGCGATTGATTTACTGCAAACCAGAAGGGAAGGGCCAATTCAGTGGACTGGGGTCCTAAATAGATATGGCCCACCCTGTTTATCCCTTTCATTTTTCTGCATCATCCTCTCCAGCAACCTGCTGTTTCCAGGCAGGGCTTTAACGGGCAGAGTGGGTGGGAGTGGGGATTGCAACAGAAGCATTGTTTCTGATGGGAATCCCAAATCAATCGGGCCCCTTTTAGGAATTCTGAGTCTCCTTTCACTGATGGATAAAAAGTCATCATTGTCATTCACAGGATTCTCCCGAAGAAGGGGAAGCCTCGCTGGACAATGTCAGCAGCCTGGAGGAGGACTCCCTGGACCTCAGTCTCTAATTAAAAGAGGTACCTATTTTAGCCTCTTTGTGGATCAATGCCTTGCTCAAGGAAACAATGAGCTCTGACGGGCAGGGTCACCCAAGTCAGACAGGTCATAGTGCAGAGTGCTGACATAACGTGGTCCACTGGAGAAGGAAATGGCAACCCTCTCCTTACTTTTGATACCCCACAAAAAGTATCAAAAGTAACTCCAGAAAGAACAAAGTTTGTATACTTTTATAGAAAGAGTGTGGTACTAAGAATAGCCTTTGATTCCTCCCCCAGACGCTTCCCCAGATGCCTCTCCAGAAGGCAGATCGGAGGAGGATGAACCAGTCCCAGGCACATCAGGAGGTGAGTTGGCCAATGCCTCTGAGCAGCCAGCGGAGAGTGATTTGGCTGAAGCACAGCTGCAGCAGGAGAGCCCTGAGACTTCCGGGTAGCTGCAGATGGTTAGCTTTGAGCAGGAACTGCTTTCTGCACTATCCGAGAACAACTAGGGAAGAGAAAAGGCAGGAGCAGCAAAGGGCGGTTCTTTCACTCACGAGGAGGCAGTCTTGCCTTTCTTGATGGGCTGCACCAGAAGCTGGCAATTGAGCACAGCAGACAAATGGAGGCCATGCTGGGAACAATGCACTCATGACTAGGGGGTTGGACTAGAAGACCTCCAAGGTCCCTTCCAACTCTTGGTATTCTGTTCTGATATTCTATCTGCATATAGACGGACGGCGGAATCAGCCCCAGCGGCGAAGCCCTGCGAGGAGCCACTTTCCAACGAGGAAGTTCCTGCGTCTTGTTAATGTTATTGTTGTAATTCTTTTTGTTGTACTTGTTGTTGTTGTGCATCTTCTTGTTTTTGTTCTTGTTGTTTGAGAATAAAACTAAAAAATTCTTTATATCTGCTAATTTAGTTTAAACCTAGTTTCATTACACTTTTGTTAGGAATAACAAACTTTTCATTAAATGCAGAATTTCAGCAAACTTCTTTGTCTGTTTTCTCGTATTTTTTCCTCCGTTCTATGGGATACAGTGATTAGTATTCACTTACAATATTAATGGAAACCTGACACTTCCAGAGGTTCCTTAGCTACGCGCAAGTAGTCCTCAACTTACCACAATTGATCCACAAATTTATCTTTTAAATACAACATTTGTTTAGTGACTTTTGCCCCATTTTACGACCTTTCTTCCCACAGTTGTTAAGCAGATCACTGCAGTTGTTAAGATAGTAATAAAGTGGTACCTGGAAAAATACTGATGGTCCGACAAAGAACATGGGTAAAAAGCAGATGGCCCACCAAAGAATGTGTATGAAAGGGAGGTTTGTTTTGCTTACAAGACAACTCTTAAATTTAGGATGGCCAGACATCCTGTTCCCAGCTCTGCACATGATATATTACTAACTGCTTGTCACATGGTGTATCTAAATTGCTTAACACTTGATATATTGCTGATTGCTAAAAACATTCCAATGTAAACGAGGAGCTATCGATTATAGATCTGTCTAGTAGTTTTTCTATGTTAGAATAAGGACCTATAGAATGTAATGTGACCTGAAAATAACCCCCGCCAGAAGGGTTATAAAAATGGTCATCAATGTACAATCTGGATTCAGATTCTTTAGCCATGATGGCTCTCTGAACCTGCGCAATAAACTTCCCTTTCCTGGAAAGAGCTGACTCAAGTCTTTGAATTCTACAACATTTTCTGGTGCATTGGCCGGGAAAAGCTTGAGTGAGGCGATATTTCGCTGAGGACGGCTGGACCCTTCGGACCTGCTGGTAAGCCATCTCTGAACAATTCTCCAGGCGCCATGGGGGTTTGTTTCCTCCAGGAGACAGCTGTGGCTTATCAGCAGAGCCGACAGTACTGAAGGCCAGTCCAAGAACCCTTTGGGAAAGGAAAGGAAGTCTGAACCAACTCCTGGCCAGGATGGGTGTAACTACAAGGCAGGCGAGTATGTGTTTAAAGTAATGGTACCTATCTCACTTGAAGATAGAAGAGGGGGCCTGATCACTCCCCTGGACTTGGGACGGCGATCCTAATGAAGTCCGTGTTAGGTTGTGTGGGTGGTTAAGCCAGTGCATTCCCTACTAGTGACCGCCGGCGCTGTAGGTCATTGGCAGTGTGTTAGGATGGGGGGGCGTAGTATGGATGTGGGGTGGCCCCCAGAGGAGACTTTTAAGAAAACTATCCTAACCAATTTCAGTATATAGATCAGTGGGGGGATGCAGTAGCAGGACGAGCTGATGAGTTATTGCAATGTCAGGGTGAAATGGTTCGTTTGTGTGTGGCTAGACCCAAAGAAAAAAAAGCTTCAAGTACAAACTAAAAGAGTGAAAGATGTGAAGATTTCAGAAACTAAGGTGTCAGATGCTAAGAAGGAGATAAGGATGGAGGTAGAGGAGTTCATTCTCAGACCTCCTCCCTACGTTCCACCTTTCTCCCCCTCCCCCCCCAGTGCCGGCTGCGGCAGCAGCCGCTCTGCCGGAGGAAGGGCTGATTGCCCCTGCTGTGTCCGAAGAAAGGCAGCCAGCTGTGAGACGAAAACAGAAAGGGGGAGGCTGTCAGCCCCCAAGGAGGAAGGGGATTTGGAAGGTCTCTCTGTAAATGTGAGGGGAGAAGTAAGTAAAGAGGACGTGGCAGGATGTACAGCAATTGTTGAATATTTTGTTGACTCCCGAGGAAAGGGAGAAGTGGAAGGCTGCTGTTAGGCAGTGTTTGAAGGATAGGTTGCCGGCTGTGCGGGATATACAGCCAGAGATGGAAGCCAGGGCACCAGAAAAGGACCCTGAATGGAATACACAAAATCCAGCACACATGACTTTGTTAAAGGAATATCAGAATTTAGTAGTAGAGGCTCTTTGCAAGGCTGGAAAGCCTTCAGTGAATGTGTTAAAGCCGTCTTTTGTGATGCAGGAGGCAGATGAAAGTCCGGAAAGTTTTTTGCAAAGGCTGATTGAGGCTTATGAGCTTTATACACAGGTTGATCCAAGGAGTGCAGACAATGTGCGAATGTTGAATGAGAGGTTCATAGCACAGAGTTATGAAGATATAAGAAAGAAGTTGCAGAGGTTAGAAGGAGCATTAGGAAAGAATACTACAGAATTGTTGGAGGTGGCTAGGAAAGTGTTTGTTAATAGGGATAAGGTGGAAAAACAGGAAAGAGATGCTAGAAGGCATAAGAAAATTGAGTTGTTGGCGGTGGCATTGCAAGGAGGGATCATGCTGGGACCAACCAGTGTGCTAATTGCAAGGAGGAAGGTCATTGGCAAAGAGAATGTCCAAGAAGGCAGATGCGAGGTAGAGGTTGGAGAGGAAGAGAAGGCAGAGGATGTGGAGGTGTTGGCAGTGGGCCCCCCATGCACTCCCCCTTCATGGGTAGAGGGCAGAGAGGGGCTCCAAGGAATGTGAGAGATGGTCCAGGGAATGTAAGAGATGGTCTGAGGAATGGGAGACATTGGAATAGAGACAGGAGATTGAGGGAATTGGCTTGGCAGGAACTAACGGGTCAGATTGACGAGGACCTGGCTTGGAGGAAGCCCCCCCTGAGTCATTGGTTACTTTAAATATAGGGGGCAAACAGACAACGTTTTTGGTGGATACTGGAGCAGGAAGGTCAGTTGTAGATTTGAAAGCAGAGTCTTTGTGTGTGAAGTAAATATGACTATTACTAACCTCAAGAGAAAAGAAGATACAAAAAAAAAAGAAATAACCTCACTCTGTTTGTCTGGCCAACAAACAAAGTGAAGAAAGATGTGTTTGTTTATTTATTTATTTTTTTCTCTCCCTCTTAAGAACAGCCCAAAGTTACCTGCTCAGGCAGGAAATCCTATACCATTTTCTTGCCTATTCTGCTCTCTCCCTTTTGCAAATGTTAGTGTGTTAATGCCTTTTCAAACTCTATCTGCAGACACAACCCCCTTTCCCCCCTTGCTTTTTCCTGGCTGTGTTGCTTTGAGAGGGAGAGAGATAGAGAGAGAAAGGAGAAAGAACTTTTTCTCTGCTTAGAATTCAGGTTTGAGAAAGGTTGGGTGGCTGTGAAAATGTAATGCCCACTTTTGCAATTTTTTTCTATTCAAAAGAGGAGTCAGTAATTGTTGGACACGGACAACTTTTTTTTTGGAAATTTTTGAGTTTAAATTGTTTAATATCAACCAAAAGAGTTTGCTTAGATTTGTAAATGTTCTCCCTATTTAATGGAAATTTAATGGAAATCTGTTTCCATCTGAATGGAATTTGATTAAATTGGGATTTGACTAACTTTATATTAAAAGCAATACTAGAGTTTAGAAAAAAAAAACTTTCAGTAACTCAGAATATCTTATTAAACTTTTTTATTTTTTTTTGTGTGAAGTTAGAACGAAGTTGAGAAAAATTTGGGATTATAAATAGCTGTGCTGTTTTGAGTAAAGATTTGTATGCAAAACTGTTAGAAAAAGAGCTTGTGTTAATAAATGCAAACAGGGTTTGGTGAGCTTTCCTTTGTTGGTTCTTTGCTAGGTAATTTATTTATAACCAAGGACAAAGGTTGGAGAAGGTTTTGACCCAGAAGTGTGTGCGTGGGGGGGGGAAAGGCAGCCAGTGGCATTTTTATCTAAAATTGACATTTGGGGGTTAGCATTTCTTATCAAGTGTGGACAATTTTAATCAGGAAGCCTAAAGGAGGTATACACTTGTTCATAGCAAAGTGGTTTTCAGTTGTGGATTTGAAAGATGCTTTTTTTTCACGATTCCTATTCACAAGGCTAGCCAGCCGTTGTTTGCTTTTGAATGGGAGGGAGAACAAAACAATGCCTTTAGGGAAGTGAAACGAGCCCTCACATCAGCTCCAGCTTTAGCCTTGCCTAACTTAGAAAAGCCTTTCAATTTGTATGTTGATACCAGGAAGAATGTTGCCTTGGGGGTGTTAACTCAACAATTAGGACAGTGGCAACGCCCGGTGGCTTACTTATCTAAGCAATTAGATGGGGTTGCCCAAGGCTGGCCACATTGCCTGAAGGTTCTTGCTGCTATAGCAGTCCTTTTACAGGACTGTAATAAATTGACCTTCTCATGTCCCATAAGTGTCCACACCCCTCATGCAGTTCATTCTATCTTGGATAATAAAGGGCATTTGTGGATCAGCAGTCAAAGGCTTTTTAAGTATCAGGCGATGATGATTGAAAATCCTCAAGTGAAATTAGTGGTGTCTAACCGGCTAAACCCTGCCACCCTATTGCCCACAGAAGTGGATTCAGAACACAACTGCTTGCTGCCCTGAATTGGTATACAGACGGCTCGAGTTACATGAAGGATGGGAGGAGGGTTTCTGGATATGCGATTGTGAATGATGAGGAAGTGGTAGAAAGTAGTCCGCTAG